CACACACACACACACACACACACACACACACACACAAAGTTCACCAGCTGAATAATGGAGATGCTGCAGTGATAGCCATATCATTAGCAGCTCACTTAATTCCATAGCAGTGTGCATTTATTTGCTATTCCAGGCAGGCACAGGCACTTCATGTAAATAGCATGAAGTGGGATATTCAGTCTCCCTGTCCGGATCGCCAACATGTCCCAGGGATCCTAACCCTTCTGTTACTGCCTGTTAGACTTTGTGTTTTGTTAGTCTAATAATGAAGAATTCAATCAAGTATGACTGGAGCACAAATTAACAGGACCCCGGGAAGAAATGACAGCTTTGTGTGTCAAACAAGCAACATTTCAGCACCAGGAGTTCCCCAAGTCGGCACAATATTTTTCAAAAAACTTCTGTGTCACACCTCAGGGGGTTGTTTTTCCGCGCATCAATCAAGCAAGAGTGCAACCGCCCCTTCACAGCAGGCAGGACTAAACTGCTGGTGCATAGCCCACTCCATCCATCCATCACTGGTGTCCAATCTGCCCCTTCACTGAGCTTTTCATAGGCATAGGCAACCTCGTCCAAAAGCGAATGCGATAGATTTTCTGCTCTATTTATAGTGAAATGATGTGATGGAGTAAACTGCAGCGAACTGGACGCAGGCGCGGAGTGCGGTAGCTGCAAACGCAAGTCTCAAGAGCAGGTTTATTTGAACAATAGGCAGGCTGCTGTGAGCAGCTGTGTGCAGCTGTGTGGAGCTGAAAATCTGTGTAACCTGCTGCTCCGGCTGCCTGTCACACCCCTCCCACCCCACGCCTGCACGCACTTACAGCAACAGCTCACGATACAGCAACAAGATACCGAACACATTTTACGATGGCAGCTCACTGAATGATCCCTCTCTCTCTTACACACACATACAAACGCAAAACGTATCACAAATATGCACATTTTCTCAAAAGTTAACCAAATAAAATCCCCGCAAAACTCGCGCTTCAGCCACAGCTACCCGCGGAGGCAGCGGCGGCAGCAGTCCGCTATTAACTGCACGAAAACGGCTGGATTACAGCCCAAGTACAGTGTCATACACTTGGCTGAGTCCACGCATGAAAAAGATCAATTACAGGGCATCAAAACTGGCTTGACAGATGAAGGTAGCTGGCTAACAAGCTAGCATGCTAGCTAAATCAAAACAGCGGCGTAAACAAACAGCACACGGGCAGACTGCACAGGTATTTACCGTATGGTTGACACCCCACATTAAAACGCTGAGTATGGGCTCACTGGCGCGGAATAATTTCACTTTCTGTCCTATAAAATGCTTCTTTTTCGTCTTGGTTTTGCTGGCGCTGATGGGCGCTGCGCTGGTGCAGTTGGATGACATGTCTCCGGCTGGGGATTCAGGGTACGCAAGACGGCGGTCCGGGTCGTTCACACAGCGATAAATAAAAACTAAATCTGAAAGTACAGAGCGTTTTTCCTTTTCGAAGAAATCTATAAGTGCATCGTGCTCGTTGACCAACTCGCAGCGAGTCTCTGGGCAGGATGACTGTCTGTTTGGGAGTCAGCGGTGAAGCATTTTGCGCCGTCACCACCCTTCCTCCTCCCGAGCAGGCCGCGGCGTATCCACACAGCAGCTAGCCGGCCATCGGGTTACAGCGCGGCCTCGCTCTAAAAACAGCCTGCAGCGGAGAACCGTCGCCGAGGCAGATCCTCTTCTCTCCGCTCAACGCCTGCAACCCAACACTGATGCCGTTTTACTTGGAAGTGAGTAATCCCGTCATGATGAGCGTGTTGTCACCAGCCCAGCGCTGAGATCGGGGTCTCCTCAAGATGGCGTCCGTGCTGCACTTCACAGTCAACAGCGGCCCCAACAGGCCAGCGGGGGAATTGCAGGGATTCCCACAGTGTACCGCTCAGGGTTTGCTGCTCGAGCAGTGGTTCTCCCTTTTTTTTTCTTCTGACGTGCCCCATTTAAAAAAAAAAAGAAGTTCACGTAGACTCCAGAATTTTCTTCGTTTTCTTTGATGGCTGTCAAACAACACTGAGGTGTTCTGTAGCCACTCCTGCTTGGCCGGAGTAATGAAAGGAGACTCCAAAACGCAGACCTGCATGCAGCACGAACTTGTGCATTTAAATTTACACCCAGCTTTCACAATACCCATTTAATTTATAGTTTCTATTTCTTTTTCGTCTTCTTTTGGCTGCTTCCTTTCATGGTCACCACAGCAGATCATCTCCCTCCACCTCACCCTGTCATAGAGGGCATGTTATCCCAAGCATCCCCTCTGCATGTCCTCCTTTGCTACATCCATGCACCTTCTCCGAGGTCTTCTTCTCGCCTGGGAGCTCCACCTTTTTTTTGGGGGGGGGGGCAAGAATGTCCTATGTTGGTAGTAATTCTAATAAACGTGAGCACAAGAGAGAGGGAGACACCCTACAATGAACTGAAACATTAACTTGTTATTTATTCCTGCTTAAAACAGATTATCATGGATTTTGAAATCTTATTTGATTTTCATTTGTACTTATTGTACAGGCCAAGTGTGTCGCCAACCCTCACACTTTATCCTGTTTTGTTTGCTTGTTAAGTTAGTATAAGATGTAATGACATGTGCTTTTGTATATTGTATATTCTGGTACTTTAGCCCAAGAAATATCATTTAGTGTGCATATTAGGGTTTGTTTAAATGAAATGGACAGAAAAGGTTTTTTAAAAATGGAAACACAACAACGATGTAGGCTGCGTTATGAACAAGGCAGGGACAACTTTGTGTCCTATTGTGTTTCAGCTGCTTTGTTTTCATTTCTGTTGCAATGCTTTCTGAAATTGTTTACACCTCAGGGTCATCGTATTACCGGCACACAATCGATCATGCGTCAGTGTGGTGTGACCCCCCACATGAAAGGCTCACCCAGGAAAATTTTATGGCAGGAAGCATAAACGCTGTTCCACCAGAAACATGTTTCTAAGGGAGGGGAGGCGGCCCTTAGATATAAACAGTGGAGTCATTCTGCTCATTTCCAGCTTCATATTTTTTATTTTTGGTCCTAGAGTAACTTTACATAATTTCCAGATCATTGACTCTTGGAGCAACCCTCAGTTCATCCTCTGTTTGAAAAAAATGTGTTTTTGTAGCTCCTCCCCATTTTGGCCAACTTTCTTTTGATTGGCTTCCCCTCATAAGCAAAAGGTTTGAACAGCAGGTGGATGGGACTTAGCTGTGTCTGGTGTTCACATGTATCTGGTTGATGTTAATTTTCACTGCTCATTTTCCTCTGATTGTGTGGACTCTACAAGCCATTACACTAAAATACAGCCACTACGCATGTAGCCTTCAGACTGACTCTAAAGAGAAATTCAAAAAGTAAAACAGGAAGCTCTCCATTTCTGCAGCTGTATAATCCTGTACTTAGAGAGATCTGGTCTCAGTGACATCAAACAGAGCCACACTGACTAGGATAGAATAGAATAATCCTTTAATTGTCCCAAAGGGGGAAATTTGGAAATTTGACCACATGATTTGAAACTTGCTTTATGTTTCTTCCTACATTAAGAGTAAATACAGGACAGGAAATAGAGAAAACTACGACATATCCCATGCAACGCTATTGAAAATTCACCCTAGAGACTGTGAGTGTTAGAAATGATCAAACTGACCTAACTTGAAACATTTTGTAACCGGGCAACACAAAAAATCCCAACGTTTATTAAACTGAGATTTCAGTGGGTTGCAAAGATCTCCGAGATCCTTAAAATTAGAATATTAAGTCAGGCTGGTGCAGTTTTACATTTAAAATGATTGATACATGTCCACGAACGTATCAAGACTCAATATGTTCGTACTTTCCATCAAAGAAATTCCCTAAAATATCTTTGATTTCAGTGATTTGTTTGAAATGCTTACAGAATAAGTCAGAGGTTCAGCCGGAAATTTGTAGATGCTCTGCCCTGAGCGTGTCTGCACCAGGCGGGAGGACACTGGAGAACAGATGGCAGCTTCAGTTAAAAACACGACTGAAGCAGGAGACTGATGGGAAGTGCTGGTAAATGTTGAATTCACTCTCTGCTGCCATAGTTGGTTTTGTTTTGTTTTCTTTACACAAATGACGTGTCCATCTTACATTGATGACGTATTAGGGGAAATTAATTGGTGCTCAAAATTTCCGTTTTGTTTGTAGTACTCAGACTCAGTTTATCCTGCTGTTACATTTCTACCTTACGTGACCGCTGTCCGCACTGAGGGCGTCCACACATGGCTATTTAATTATTCTCAGCGGAGACGGGGGCGGGAGCTGGGGGAGGGTGGGGGGTTCGTGCCCTGACAACCTGCTTCCCAGAGGACACGATGGCCTTTAAAAGCGTCTAAAGAACAGATGGTAGCCACTGAGGTGCATTATGGGGGTTGTAGTTTTTGAAACTTGGTCCAAATCACAGCGTATTATTTCTTTATCCTGTTTTTTCAGCTTTGGTTGATTCGCAGGTGTAGATTTTGGGCGGTGGGGGTGTTGTCTCAGTATTTAGACGCATGAAGCACATGAATCTACAGCTCCTCTCCCCTGTGAACGACGCAGAGGAATTACCGAAGAGACAAAGACTTTTTTCATGCGTGGATAAAGACGCTTTCATGTCAATGCGGAAAATATGCAATAATTAATCAAATCAAGTGTCTGGCAATCACAGTTTCCTGGGAGATGGATCTACACCTATGGGTGCAAAGGTGCATTTCACTATAAAAAGCAAAAAGGGTGAAGCAGGATGAACAGATCCTGCGGAGCTGCTGTGGAGTCACTTTATTCAACACAAAATAAAAACGATGCTCTCCTTTGATTCACTCAGAAACATTCAGGAGGAACTCTGATTTTTTTCCTTTCGATTTTTACACTTTGTGCTTCAAGGTAAATGTGGAACCAGTGAATTTTCCTCCTCCTTTGTGATGTTGTGAATGAGACCGTACTTTCTTAAAGTCAGAAGTAACTTTTCTCATAACCTTCCCCCCCCCAGAGTTTATTTCATGTCTTTAAACATGTGCTGTTATCTCAGCTCTACCTGGGGGATATTTCTAATTTCAGAAATTAGTTAGAAATTACTGCATGTCAACTAATCTGCCCTGAAATCTATTAAGATAAGATAAACCTTTACTAGTCCCACACGTGGGAAATTTGTTATTTTATGTTGTTAAATTTGTTGAAATCTTTTGAGTATTTGTTTTTCAGGTGGAAATCTGTGTTCTCTTTGTAAAACAGTTATTAATTGTGTCTAAAAATGGCATTTGTTCAGTATATTTACTTGTTTCTTATAAAATAATTAAAATGAAAACGGAAAAAAACCCTCTCAGTTCTAATAACATCTCCCGGAGCTGGTGGGCCATCCGTGGGTCTCGGGCCCGGGGACACGAGGCCTGTAGGGCCTCTCTCCCTCGGTCATCCACAGAAACTCAGTCAGAGCAGCGGAGGGCGGGGCCGGGCGGGCCGAGCAGCCGCTGACTGACACAAATTAATCACAAGGTGGAAAATCAGAACAAGAAGTGCGGGGCTCGGCGTGTGCGGGACAAACACCGTGGACAAAGTGCGCGGGGCCTGCGGACTCTGAGTCTGGACACCCTCTTCGCCCCGTGAACGAGGCGACAAAATAAAGTCACGTGATCCAAAATGGGCAGTCCTCTGACGGTGCTGAAAAAAGCCATTTTCTGGCGCTGCTGCAAATTCTGTCCAAGTCCCAAATAACTGAGCCGCCCTGCGCCGCGAGGACGCGGACCCTCGGAGGAGAGACCAGGTAGGACCGCGCGTCGCGGATCGCTTTTGTTTATCGCGCTCATCGCGGCTCAGTTTGCGGAGGCGCAACGCGAGGCGCACGGTGTCACATTCGAGTCTCCCTTGTTCGCCTCCTGGTACAGCAGCCCTGTCAGTGGATTTAAGATGGCTGCTTTGTGTACCAGTGTGCTTTTCTGCGGCTCGGTGCCCCCCTCCGAGCCGCCGCTTTCGCCCGCGGTGCTGGGTTGAGGTGCGGGCTCGGACGGCGGAGCTCTGCGGGGAGGGGAAACGCTCTTTGTTGGGCTGGAGGAGATGAGCTGGTGCACGAGATGAGGCCACACAGGGGCGATCGAATAGCCCGCTGCCTGCCGTGTGCCCCTCACAGTCTGCGCTGAGCTGCTCGGCTCCTGCTCCCGGCTCGTCCCTGAACCCAGCACCGGGATTTGTGGGCTTTCGTCGGCTCCGTTTGTTGTGGTTTCGGAAGCCGCTGACGCGGTGCAGACAATGTGTGAGGGGATCCGGGCACAATGTGGGGGATGACCTGCAGTCTCCAGCAGTAAGCGCTCATAAAACCCCCTCACGTTCTCTGCTTCTTCTGCAGATCAGCCCAGATGGATAAAATGCAGCCTAACCGGATCAAAATCACAGATCTGAACCCACACCTCACATGCCCTCTGTGCGCCGGCTACCTGATTGATGCTACGACCATCGTAGAGTGCCTGCACTCCTGTAAGTTCCTCACATGAATGCACCACCTTACATGCATGCACATCGTTTCCATCAGACCTCTGCTCATGATGATGTTGAAGGGAGGTGAACAGGCGTGATGTTGAGTCACACACTCCACCTCAATTAGGCCTGCAGGAGGTCCACTTCAGGGACCACACTTGCTCAGCAGCACATGACTGCATCTTCTGGGTTGTGTTGAAACTGCTTGTGCTGGATGTTCATGTTAAACGTGGGCAAAGTTTCAACTGACGGTCAAGGAATCCCTGTGAGCCAAAACGCCAGGCTTCACACTGACAGACCTTTCTAATCTTGGATCTGTGTGATGTCACAGAGAGGGGATATCCCTAATATGGGTTTCAGGAACCCATCAGAGCTAATCTACGGAGAGCCATCAACTCCTTATTAATGCTGCTGTTCTGAAAATTGCTGCAGGTAGCCTCAATGAATAAGAGCAAATGGAGCTAAATGGCTAAAATAGGTTCTTACACCTGCTTCGAGAACACTGGTGGGAAGCCAGTTTCATTCAGAGAGCCGTACTTACTTAAATGATACAAAGGACTACGCAGAGCTGAAGCACAGTGCGCCACATTTGCTAAACTCCACCACTTTGGTAGACATAAGGATAAGAATGAGTCCCACAACTTTCTGACAGGTTGGTCGCTCTGTGACCGTCTCGAGTACCACGACATAAAATAATCCACTGAAAAGCTGAATCAGTGTTTCCTTTTTATTTATATTCACCATCTGAGTAATAGACTAGGCCTGGTTTAGGTTTTCTTTCCGTATGTTTGAGGCCGGTTTGAGACAGAGGGCTGGCCTCCTCTGGGACTTATTTTGCTTTTGTAAAGCCATCATTTTCTTTGTTTTTGTAAACGTGGTATCAGTTGTGTAAATGAATTTCAATGACTGCCCCTTTAAAAACACTCGTCATACTAGATATTCAGTCCAGGCTCATGTTCTCTGGATGCTGTTTGTTTATAAGCAATAATTAAATCAGACATTAAAAAAAGTAATTAAGAGGTTTCCGTGTGTGGATAAGAAGGAGCTGCTTGTGGTGGTTGATGGAGACGCTATCAGGAGGCTGCTGCTCGCTTCGTGCCTGAAATCAAAATGGCAGATGCCATAAAGCTGCTCATGGTGCTGTGATGTCACTAAAATTTACAGAAAGGTATTTTACTGCAATCAAAACCCATAAAAGAAACTCTTGATCATTGTCCTTATTTCTATTGTCACAGACACGAGAACCAGCGTTAAAACAAAAACCAAAGAAAAGCCGACTGCAAGCGCAAGCGCACGGTTCCCACCCACCTGTGCGAGAGTAGCCAATCAAAAGAAAGATGGCTGGAAGGCAAACCGGCTTGTTTCAGACAGAGGAAGAACTGAGGGGATGCATGAAGGCTCAGAATAGGTAGATAGGGATTATTATGAATTGTGGTTCATGCAAAGCTGCTGTAGTAGAGTCAAAGAGTTAAACTATGAAGCAGAAATGTCTCGTTTCATTGTATGGCATCAAAAGCAGTCAAGAACCTGTGTTGACACATTATCACTGAGTAAATGAATAAAGAGAACGCTATCGGCACCAGGGAAGCGTGTCCTGGTATAGAGCGTCAGCCTGTTGCTATGCGGAAAACAGCACAAGCATAAAAACAAAATAATCATAAATTATAAAGTAAGGAGTGAATTGGCACATTTACCCAGTCCTTTAGTCTCATCAGGAAGTGTCCCAAATCCTGGAAGTGACCCAGGAATGTCAGCTTAGCAGCTTTAATAAGACCTCTCTTGAATTCTCCAGATAGTAAGGAAAGGTGCTTCAATGCGTCCTTTGTTACCTCCTTTAGCAGAGGACACACCGGACCATCCTTTATGAAAGGGGAGGTGTTCACAGTTCATAGATGAGGCAGCATCCAACAAACAGTCGGCGTGACTGACAGGTTCTGCAGAGCATCTATAAGTTTATACGTTTGTTTCCCAGTTCCTGGCTTTATCAACTGGTGCTAATCCTGGTTGAGGTGTTGCCTCACATGAAGTACATGTCTTTATATGAGCTCTGTCAAACTAGTTTGGAAGTTTTATTAAAGATGTCAAAGTGTGTTTAAGGTTCTGGATAATTAAGCTTGAATGCCTGTTGTCGTATCGCCGCCTTTCTAATTATCATGAAATCTTTTCTTTTTGTTTTTTGGCTCGCTGGAGGAAGTGATGGATGGAGTGATTTAGACAAAGATGAGGAAAAGAAAGATTACTCTGAAATGTGTTTTCTTTTATAGGTTTTATGTTCTGTTTTTTTATAATGAAGAGAGATTTTTCACTGGTGGCTCTGGTTTAGATGACCTGCATGAGGCAGCGTGGTGAGAAAACAGGGGGAAGTGTGATGTGTGTTTTGTAGCAGCAGACATCCTCCATCAGGCTGGTTAGCAGTCCGGTGTGAGCGCAGATGGATTCTCTGAGCATCCAGCTTCTGTGCCGGAGTCCTTCGCACTTCTGCTTGACCTCGTCACACTGAGGTCACGGAAACAGAGGCTGGACTGCATCACCGCAGGGAATTTTCCTTTGTTAATGAATTTTAGGGCAAAGTCTGCAAACATTTAAGCATATTTTCAAAATCAGATGTCCTGTTGAACGTGCACATTACATTTTAAAGTAAATTGAATTCATATTATGCTTCCAGATGGCTGTCGAGTGGCGAGATCTTTTATTTACTTTATCGCGCACATACACCTGTGGAGATGTTGGGTTAATTTTGGGTGCTGTGGACACCAAACGCACACAAACACACAGCTCTATGTAAGTGCTTTTTCACTCGAGCGCTCACTGAATTTGGTTCAGGATCTTCCCAAAGGACACTTCTGTGTGCAGACTGAAGGAGTCGGGGACCTGGGGCCTGTTCAATCTCCTGAGCCTTAGCTGTTAAAGAGGCCTCTAATGACACAAAAAACCCTTTAAAATAGACAAACGCATAAAAGAAGCGACATTACTAAAACCTAACTGTATGCTTTGCACAGAGTCTTCATCCTGAGGGTAAAGGAGGAGAGTGTTCTGGTCTTTCTGCTGCTCGTCCTCTAACAGCTTGTTCTCTCTCCACATGTAGTTTGTAAAACATGCATCGTTGCCTTCCTCGAGACAAATAAGTTCTGTCCTCGATGTGACGTCCAGGTCCACAAGACGTGTCCACAGCTCAGCATCAGGTAATCCAGTCTGCTTCATGTCAGTTTTTTTTCCTAACCTCTCCAAATTCATGATGTTTAATATCTGACACGAATGTTTTTCTTTTCTGTTTTTCATTCCAGAGCAGACAAAACTCTGCAAGACATTGTTTATAAGCTCGTTCCGGGGTTATTCAAAGGTAATGACCACAGTTTTGGGAGGCAGCGAAGGCTTAGTCATATCTTTGTCATAGATTTCAGTTTCACGATGCGTGTGGCTTTCCCGCAGATGAGATGAAACGGAGGCGGGACTTCTACGCAGAGAATCGTGTGCTGGAACCGGGGGAAGTGGTGGAGACGTTCAACATAGCAGAGGATGAAATTATCAGTCTGTCCATACAGTTCTACGAGAGGAACAAGTGAGTCAGTCATTTCCTCCTTGTTTTTATTTTACTCGAGAATAAGAGCGAGAACCGTTAATCTGTGGTCTGTCGCACTAAAAGCTACTGCTGAGAGAACAGCGAGTTCGCCTGCGTGTGTCCTCTTTTATATTTGCTCTTATTTAGCTATTTATGTGCATGTATAGATGGAGAAGATTTACTTCATCCTCAAATGTTGTCAATTATTTTTGTTACAGCAGCCAGAAGTGGAAAAACAACTTGGCTCAATAAAAACGTAGATTTAAAATAAAAAATCTATCTATAGATATCTAGATAGAGAGATAGATACAGATATATATCACTTATTAAATATTATAATTCATGTATAATGGGCAGCTTAGTAAGTAAAATCTTCCTTTAATGAGATAAATGAGAAAAGCCTGTGAGTGGTGCAGAGGGCGTCTCAGGTCATTTGTCATCTATGGGTATGCACAGACATTTGGATGAGCTCTGTTCAGCTGAATCCAAACAGTGCTGATTCAAACTGAAATCATTCACCAATGAAGGAGGAAAATTCCCCCAGCAGCTCATATGGACTCAGTCAGACAGCTGCGAGTTCAATATTCAGGCCACACAAGCAGCCAGACCAGACTTCCACCGCTCTTCCTTCACAAACTGGACATTCCCTCCACATTCCTGCTTACTGCTCAAATTAATATCTGTTTGCCCAGAAGTCCCAAAACCAGGTACGGTCAGATCAGTGCAGGCTCAGCTACGTTTCACTGCAACCGAGCGGTTCTTTTTGTCCAAACGCCGCATGTTCTCCACGATGACAGCTGGATGAAATGGTTTATATTTCCTCATCTAAGATTTCCATTTAGCTTTAGCTCTGAAATCCTGTGCCCTGCTCTGCAGCTCCTCCAGGGTTGCAGGCCTCGCTCCCATCAGCGCAGTCAGCTGAAGACTCTCCATTGCTGAGAGCGTAAAAAGAAGGAAAACCACACGTAGGCATGCAGAACCTGATTTGACAAGACTTTTAAAACAACAAGTAGTCATTTCACCTCTACATAAAACACAATCTACCACAAAATATGACTTTATCTGTGAATAACGTTGTTAAAATCAGAAATAAAATGAGTTGAGTGAACAGCACAATGCAAACGGTTACGTAGAAGTCCTTAAAATACTATAAATACTATAAATACTATAAATACTAATACAGTATTTATATGAATCCCACAGCTGTTAGTTAATATTAAAATAACAATATTATCAGAACAGTTTTTTCTTCTCGCTTCAATGTGTTTGTAACTGGAAGCTTTTGATCATGAAGCGAACAGAAGCAGCTTCCAGCCGGGTCCCAGATTTGTCCAGGCACAATTTATCTGCAGCTCTACGTGGAGTTTTGTTTTTGTTCCACCAGCTGCAGTCTGATTCCTGCGAAAAACTCGTAAATATCATTAAAATGTAAAGAAATTTAATTATTGTTTAACTGCTTTTTAATTTCCCCCTGCAGAAATAATGAGAGGCAGCATTCAGAGATGGAAGGAGACAAGGTAAAGCAAAGATGTTTAAAAGCGGCAGCTGAAGTTAGCCGGTGTAATTATGGTTTTCTGGTCCTCATCCTGGATTAATGCATCCCTCTCTGCTCTTCTCTTTGTTCTCAGTCCAACGGTAAACGCTTCCTGCAGTGCCCGGCAGCCATGTCCGTCATGCACTTAGCGAAGTTCCTCCGCAGCAAGATGGATATACCCAACAACTATCGGGTAATTGGACACACCGCAGCCCCGCACAGTAACGTTTGCAGTATCGATTCTGCAGACAACTTCAAGGCTGAGGTGCAAAAATATAAACGCTTTGTTGTTCCACAGTAGCTGCTACAACGGCGAGGTCATATTGGGTTGCATTTGTGGGCTATAAAAGAGTTCTGGCAATCATCGCGCTGATATGTGAGCTTTCGGTGCAACGTGATAACGAGCAGACGCTTACCTGAAGTGACACTGCTCCGAAAACTGCAAAATTATTAATGCTGCTTTCATTTTTTTATGGAAGCAGCAGATCAAATGAAGTCAAAGGAAACCCACAAGCGAATTACAACCCAGCTTCACACGATTCACCTTTTTGTCGGGGTGGTCTACATGTATGTAGATCCCTTAGCTCAGATTAGCACAGTATATCTGGCTATTCAGAGCCCTGCTTTATAGGTGTGGAGGAGTTGTTCCTCACTCGTGTGGGTTTAGTATTCCAGGTATGTGCCACTTGATAATAAAGTCAGGCGGCTTGAAAGACATTTTTAAAAACACATTTTCTCCACAAAAAGCTGCTTTGATTTCTGCTTGAAGAGGAAGATGAGCCAGGCTGAAGGATTTCACACACAAGTCAAATATGTGCAACTTAATCCTATTTGTATGAAACGGTACGTGATTAGAACTGTAGAGTGACGTGGAAAAAACAAAGCTGCGCCTCAACCTCTTTGTTTTCAGAAACACGGGTGAAGTAAACCGTCAGGGGCATAGACTGGCCTTGAAGCTAGACACAGATTCACGTAAAGCTTGGAGTCTGTTTAAATCCAGAATTATCTTATTTGTACGCAGGGAAACAAACCTTTCGCCGTGGTCGTTTATGTCGGTACAAACTTCAAACAGCTCGCCTGGCAGAGGACGTTTTCCCCCGCTAACGTGTTAAATGGGTTTCACGGTGTGTTACAGGTGGAGGTGCTGTATGGGGACGAACCCTTAAAGGACTACTACACACTAATGGATATCGCTTACTTCTACGAGTGGAGACGAGTGAGTGAAACCTTTCATGTCTTTGACTTTGAAACAAACATCAGCAGCTTGATTTGAAATGAGGAGAGTACAAAATGTATTTATTTTATTTTATTTTTTTAAGGGTCTGTTTGGATTCAATCAATATATATATATTTAAAAAATGCATTTAGGCTTGTAGACATGGTCGAGACAGTCTGCTGAAATACAACTCGAGTATCAGGATTAGGGCTGCCACGATTAGTCGACTAGTAACGATTACGTCGACTATTAAAATCGTTGAAGACTAATTTAATAGTCGACGCGTCGTTTGAAGCTTTGTAAGATCACAAAGACGCAGGAATAAGTACCGGTAGCAGGATTTAAGAGTGTAATAACGGACTGAAACAGAAGATGGCAGCACTGCATGTACAAGGATACCAGCTGCCGTTAAACCCCGAAGAAGAAGAAGCAGCTGTGTCCCAGAATTCATAGCGCGGCCCAGCTCAGTTGTCAACAATGGCGGCAGCTAGTTAGTTTTAATATTACTCTCATTATTCTTTCTGGGTCACAAAATAAACGATTAACATATTTTCAGGGAGAATGTAGCTGTGTAAACCTCAAATATCTGCTCAGTTTATCAAGACACCACATATTTTCAAAAGCGCTCCGACGTTTTCAGAGACGTCTGTTACCCGCTAGCTCGATAGCTAGCCGGAGGCTAGGCTAACTAGAGCCGTGAGAACACCGGACTCTGGGCAAATCGTTTTCAAACCCACCGCCGTCTTTCGCTACTCAGGTTAAACATGATATATAAGTCACTTAGATAACTTAAAAATGTTGTTGTTTGCCTTTTTTTAAAGTATTTTATTGGTTCCTGATTAAATCGGTTTGGCTGAGATTAAAGTTATAGTTTTTACACAGCTGAATAAACGTCAAGCAGATTAAACTCCATCGAAACAATCTGCAAATGTCATTAAAATTTAATAAACTCTCATCTTGTCTTTATTTTTAGTTAGCACCTTAAAAACTTAAAGCTGTAAGCTAATGATAGTTATATAAGAGCAGATGCTGCTGGTGCAATAAGCTGTATGTTTTACGTCCAATGGATGATGATCTGATTAGTCGACTAATCGCAAAAATAATCGGTGACTAGTCGACTATCAAAATAATTGTTTGTGGCAGCCCTAATCAGGATAAGGAGGAAAGGTGATTTAAGTGACTTTGGATGTGTTGTGGTTGTTGGTGCCGGGCGGGTTGGTCTGAGTAGAAACGGCTGATCTTCTAGAATTTCCCCTCCCAGCAATCTCCAGGGTTTACAAAGAATGGTCTGAAAAACAGAAACTGCCAGCAGTCGTCTGACCTGTGGCTTTAACAGGGTGTTTTTGCCCAGAGGAGAATAAGCAGAACTAGGGGAAAAAAAAGATTTCCCAGAGGTAACCGAAGCCACTGTATCCACTGTCCTCACTTCAAAGTCACCAGACTTGTTTTGTTAACCTGGGACTTTTTGGTTTGAACAAATCTTCACTCACTACTTTCGCTAACTACTTTTACTCCCCTGTCCCGTAAGTTAAAGTTCTTGAATCCAAAGGTGTCTGGTGATTTGAGGAGAGGACTATACCAGCTTCATTTCCCCGACTGTAAGGGAAAAATTGTAGAAATGTTTTAAATGTAGTTTAAATTGTATGAATTAATCTTACAATTTAAACAAGTCTGCCTCTCCCAACAAAGGGCTGTGCCGACGGCCGTCTGCTGTCTGTAATAACCGACTCTACCAAAGAGTAACTCGCATAATCCCATTTCAAAAAAATCCAAGTAAATCCTTTGAGAAATTAAAAAAACAAGGCAGACTAAAGTCTGATGTGATGGATTACTGTCCTGAATAAACTTCAAGTCCTTACAGGTTGAACTGGTATAAACTGTAAAGTAAAACCAGGAACTGCTGGGAAGGAAACAGAGACGCTCCTAAAAGAACAAGCTCAAACAGGACGACTGTGTGGCCACGATGACTGTGCTTCATCAGGCCGACGTTGTTAAAACGGCTTGGGTCGAGTGGTTTGGAGAGAAAGTTAGAGAGGCAAGGCTGAGGTGGTTTGGACACGTCCAGAGGAGGGCTGGACAAAGGATGCTGAAGAT